ATAGGTTTAGGGCCCTTCCAAATTTCTATCGCTTTCTTAGGGCCCTACGTTCATGTCAGAGGCCCATCTGTTAACCTGCCTGGGCAAAAGCTCGGGCATTCGGGGTGTTCCAAATTAACCTGCTCAGGCACACTGTATTGTTTTGGGGCCCTGCGCATTGGGTTGTGGTATTTGAATGCAGATCTATACACTCCCGTCGAGGGCCATCTGATGATCTGTTTGGGTACACTGAATCTTTAGGGGGGCATCCACGCCGGGTTTTGGGTACTTCTTACTTAAATATGAATCTTCTTCTTATGAAGAGCCCTACGCTTTGTTGGGGCCGTATCTGTTAACCTGATCCGGCCCACTCGATCGTTCGGGGCCCTTCACATTGTGTTGTACCTATTTCTTATTCAAATGGGGGCCTTATGCTCTCGTCGGGGTCCCCATCTGTTAACTGGTTTGCGCACACGCGATCTTTTGGGAACCCACCACATTGTGTCTTAGGTACTCCTTATTGGAATGGATGACCCTACGCTGTTGTCGGTGAACCTGTTTGTTAGCATGTTTCGGCTTACTCATTCGTTCGGGGGCCCTCCGCATTGGGTCTCGGGTACTTCCTATTTGAATAGACAGCCCTATGCTCTTGTCGGTGGCCCTGTCTGTTAGCCTGCTCGGGCACACTGGATCATTTGGGAAACCTCTTCCCTGTGTCTTGTGTGCTTTCTATTTGAATGGATGACCCTATGCTCTTGAAGGGGCCCTATCTGTTAAAGACAGTGTTTCACATCTGAAAGCATTTAAGTAAACATCATGTACGATAAAACAAGCTTACTTATAGCTATTGGTTTTCTTTTCAGGTGGAAGAGACTGATTTAGACAGCACAATTCTCTGTTTAGTAGATATGCTCCTCATGGTGTCATGCTTTGATTGCGTGACCGTAACTTGCACAACATTAATTGAGAGCCATTTGATGGCCGTCACATCTGGAAATTGCGCTTACGAACGCCAAATGTGAACGCCCGACAAGCGCATTTTTCTTGGCCTTGATCACCACATGACTTATGTAATGGCCGGACTTGAATCACGATATCATGACGTCATGAATGCCAAAGTGACTTTGAAATACTTTCCCCAATGAACCTTTCCCCATTTTCGCGGGCGTATAGTTCAGAAACTAGAGGGGCTTATCTCTTAATATGGGAAGAATTGTGAAGGGCATCAAATGGTCTTTAATATATCTATTTCAGTTCAAAACCAATATAAATGTGGAACACTTGCTCATGCTCCGGCCTATTCCATCCTTTGGGGGCCCTCTGTATTGTGTTGTGAGCATTTCTTATTTCAGTGGAGAGCCCTATGCTCTTGTCAAGGGCCCTTTCTGTTAACTTGCTCTGGTCCACTCGACCGTTCGGGGGCCCTCTACATCGTGTTGTGAGTACTTCACATTTGAATTGAGCGCCCTGTACTCTTGTCGGGAGCCCCTATCTGTTAGACGGCTCGGGCACACTCGATCGTTCGGGAGCCCTCCACACCTTGTCTTGGGCACTCCTTAGTTAAATGGATGACCTTATGCTCTTACCGGGGGCACATCCATTAAAGAACACATCCTACTGTGTTGTACTTTTCACTTATTAATACATCAGACATTTATGATTTGAGCAGTACTGCCAGTTTTCTCCAAATCCTTATGAATAACTTAGAATGTCGATTTGAAGAAGCCTTCCCCAGGGGGAAACCTCGTTTGACTCCCTGCTCACCACTATGAAAGTAATGCATGCAGTTTGCCTTGCTTCTTCCATCCCATGCATTCTGTAATGTTTGAAACAAGCTAATGTGCCTAAATGTTTCTATAACGAATGCTCCAAAAGCTTGAACACTTTGTTTAGGCAAAACGACATGCACACATGAAGCTTTTACCCCGTGAACTCAACGAAACGTAAAAAAACGTTTGGGTCCCTCCGCATCGCGACATGGAAATTTGTGAATAAAATGGAGGGTCCTACGCTCCTATCGTTAGCCCCGATGTTAAGCTGATGGGACACACTCGATCATTCCTGAGCTTTCCATATGGTGTATTGGGTACTTCTTATTTGAATGGAGAGAACTACAGTTTTGTCGGAACCTCATCTTTTAAACTGCTCGAGCGAGTGGCGAACCCAGGGAGAGGGGAGGGGGCACGAAAGCATGTCCCCCTTTTGTCCCAAGGGGGCACGGAAGCATACCTCCCCCCCCCCTTTGCCTCTGACCGGCCAAACGGACGCAGTTTTCTAACACAAAACGCAATGGACGTCTTTGGGCCTCCAGATGACCAAGAACAATCACAAGCGAAAGCGAAGAGCCTGTGAGCAGACAAAGTTAATTCTTTGCCGTTTGAGAGCATGGCGATTGTGGGGACAGAGGCTCATTTTGCTGTCCGGAGGCGTTACGCTACTGCTAGGGCGCTATATCTCCATTTACCGGCTTAATGCGATCGCTAAAGAACACCCTAAGTTGTCCTTGAGCTCTGCATTTTTTCACAGGGCGTTGTGCTGCTGCTGGGGCACTACGTGCTGACATGCATGGGCACTCTTGATCGATCAGCGGCTCTCCACGGATTCTTCCCATTCGCCTTAAAGGCTCTATACGCTTTTGTCGGAGCCACATATACCAGAGCACACTCGGTTGCTCTTTTCACTTGTTCGGAGGGTCTTGTGCTGTTGCTAGGGCCCATATAAGATGAGACACCGAGCCGCTCGATGTTTCAGGGGCCCTCTATATTGATCTAGCGCTTTTTACTTTTGATCTCGTTTGCGGAGAACCCTTCATTTGTATCGGGCCCCTTTCTGTTACCTGTCCTGGCGCTCTTGGTCGCGCAGGGACATTGCCTCTCTCACACTGGTCTTAGATAATTCCCCTTTGCTCAGAGCGGGCTGTGGTCAGGCCGGGGCCCTGTATGTCAGGCTGCCGGGGCACTCCCGAACGTTCAGGGGCCCACCACGATGGTCTTGGGTTCTTCTCACTTGCTCTTAGGACCCGTGTTTCGTCGACGGAAGCCTCTTTGTTGGTCTGCCGCGGCATCTATGATCGCCCAGGTTCCGTACCTTTTGGCTTTGGCGCCAAACTTTGACTTGCGTCATTTCAAGTCAGTGACCTATTCTGACCTTTAGGAAGTGCATGAAAATTGTATGATGCGGCTTCTGTTATCAATAAATTTGAAATTAACACCAGAAACTACCCCATAAAGCAAGCCCTGGAGTCATAAGACAGGTTGGCTTTGACCTTGGCCTGACCTTCATGCCTGCCCCTACGTCAATGGAATTTGTTCATTCAATTGTTTTGTTTCCTAAGAAATTGTCTCAGAGATGTATAGCTTCGTCTAACACTCCGCTGTTGCATCGGACTGAAGGATTCCCCAGAAATTGACTTTACTGAATCCATGACCTGACTTGGACTCGCCGCAGGTCCGTGACCCTACAAGGTACATCTAAATTTATGACGCCAAATGGTCCGCTTTTCAATTGCTTACAACTATGCAAAATTGGACACGGCTACGAGGCGCCGTTCGGAAACTATTCCGCCAAAACCTTCGGGGTGGTCAAATTGACCCTTCACCAGAGCGCGTCTTAACACGCGCTCGGGTGGGGAGGGGAGTCAAATCCCCCCAGAAGGTTTTCCAAAATGGTTTCCGAACGATGTGGCACAGCAGCACCAAATTTTCTATAGCTGTAGACAAATGAAAAGCAAATCGTTTGGTGACTAAAATTTAGATGTATCTGGTAATGTCACTAACCTACGGCAGGTCAAAATCAGGCCATGGTTTCACCGAAGTCAACTCCTAGGGAATCGTTCAATCTTATGCAACAACGGAGTGTTAGACGAAGCCATACATTTCTGAAATGCTTTCTTAGCAAACACGCCAACTGAATCAGCAAATTACAGTCAGGTCAGGTATGAAAGTCAGACCAAGGGTCAAGCCAGTCTGTTTTATTACTCCAGGACTTGTTGTATGGGATAGTTTCTGGTGCTCATTTCGAATTTATTAAAAGTAGGAACCGCATTCTGCATCTTCCATGGACTTCTTAGGGCTTAAAATAGGTCATTGACCTAAAATAACTTAGGTCAACGTTTGGTTTTTAGGAGCATACTGCCTAACGTAAACTTTGTCGTTTATTAAAGTGCAAAACTCCTAGCAGTCTTGTATAATTTTGGTCACCATGACCTTTAAAAGGTCAAAAAGATCACTGACCTTAAATGAGCATGTGACCTTTCGCTTGGAAACAGTTATGTAGGTTCTGGGGCACTTCGGATACCAACATGGATATTTACCTTGTATAACCTTATTTGACCCGAAGGTCATGACCTATGAAAGTCAAACTTTGACCCAAGTGAGTTCACGTACAAGTCAACATACGCTGTGAATTTGGTGTCTCTAGCTCTCGTAGTTCTCAAAATCTCAGGGGGTCAAATTGCCCCCCCCCCCCGCCACCCCACCCGAGCGAAGGGTGTCCAGCCGACCACCCGGGCGCGTGTTAAGGAGGGACTAGTTGTTCTGACTATCATCATCACTTGGAGTGTTGATGGGTACACATTACATCGGCCAGTTAATGCTCCAACCATGATCAGGTGTTAACGAGGTCTGAAAGGGACTGAATGGTGTTCGGCTTTCAATCATGTTTGGCTTTCAATCACGCGTCACAACCTGAATTCTGTCCTTGAGATTGCTGGGATTCGAGCCTGGGTCTTCTGAACTGAGTGCATACAGGTCCATACTAGTAAGTTAGCAGTTAATTGTTAGACTCCATAGTACACAGTCCATAGTCGTACATATTGCCCCGACACACAAACGTCGCTAAATCCCCCATTTTCCTTTACCATGCTCGGCTTTCATGATAAATAACAGGAAAGCTACCAGATTAAGACTGCGACGAAAATGCCGCGATGAAGACAGCTGAAACGGACGCTTGAACGCGTTTGATCTTAGGTGAACCGTCTGTTTTGATGTAGGGTGTCCCGGCCAGTCCTGGACGACGATAAATAAGGCGGGAGGGGCGAGTTGTGCTTGTGGGACCGGCTGAAAGCAAACTGTGCATCATCTAGTTAACATTAAGAATCGGCCCTTGTAATGGAGGACAGGGCAGAAGCTGAGAGGTATGTCTGTTGGATATGAGTGAGAAACCTGTTTGCTCCCTCATGGTAGAACTACTTTTAATTCCACCTGCCCCCTTGTGATGTTTTGGTCGTGCCCATGAAGGCTCAACTTTTCCCTAACCCACAGAAAACATGGGTAGCTCCTAATGAGTTGAAAAAGTGGTTTTGATGTGCCGTGATGTGGTGCAGCTTAACTGGTTGCTGATCAGGGAGATATCAAACAATTATTGCAGCCAAATGCAATAAAACATTTGGCTACTGAGGGCATGCTTATGGGTGTTTTCACAATATGTTCTAATAGTTGTTTGATATCTGCTCTAAATTAGCACCTGCTCCCACTACTGGCAGTTTGGACTGAGCTATTTTCTGCATAAGATCATTAGCTGTGCCTTTTGGTCAGGTGATGTAGTTGTTGGGTTAGATGGTTACCTGTTTTGTGCCTTGGTGTCAAAGTATGCTCATATAGTTTCTCTCAGGGGCATTGCCTTTTGACAATGATCAGGGTCTAACAATAAGTTCAGTGTTCTTTGGAAACAAGGGATCATAATGCAATTGCACTGCCAGTAAATTTGAATCTTTTGAGCTTAACAAACATAGACTAAAGTATCTCAAAACATTCATAGCACTTTTTTGTATGTCATATTTAAGTGCTCATGGCCTGACAGAAACAGGGTCATTGTGTGCTAAGCTAGGCTAGGCTAGGCTTCCCAGTGCCATGATTTTGATGCATATAGGTCTAGCATCTGCTATAGAATTCAGTTCTGGTATCATGGATATATGTGGTTTGATGACTATGTGCCTAATGCAGTTTTGACTGTGCCTGAATCAAGGGTATGGTATTATTATGTTTACAGTGCTGGAAACTTGTACATATACTGTGTTATGGGTACACTATTTACTTGCCCCAACAACCACCTCAGCCTCCATGGTATGTCACATATGGTCCTTAAGCAAAGTATTGTTGTTATCTTGTTATTGTCACTAAAATTTTAATAAATCAAGCCTAAATTGGTAATGGATTGTAGGCATATTGGCCCTGAAAATTGGTCAGCACACATGATGATACGTAAGCAGTGGCTGGACAGTCATGATATATGAAAGCTACATGCTTGATTAAAGGGAATGTATGCACCAAAACATCATTCTAAAGTTTAGCATGTATAAAGGTGCAGCATTCTCTGCTAATTGCTTTGACATTTATTTGCCAATTATTTTCCTCTTATACTGGAATAATTCTGAGTCTGCCTTTAGTATTGGAGCACCTATGAGGTATTGGTGTCCAAAGGGATGACAGTTTATTTGGAAACCACATAACCTACGTTTTCAAGAGACACCAAGTTTCAGCAGCACCACAGAGGGTTGCAAATCTTAATTTTTGAGATGCACCCAATTCCAGAGAGTACTGCAAGGGACCCTATATCTTCATTCTCAGGGGCACCAGATTCTAGGGGCACAGAAATGTTGTTGGTCCCACTTTAATAGAACACTGGATCGGCTGAGGGGGCACCAGCACCTTCCTTGTGGGACACCAAAACTTTTGTTTTGGGTAGCAGATATCAGCAAGCCATTAAAAGGACCCAAAATCTGTTTTTTTCAAGGGGCAGTAAAACCAGGGTGCCACAGCTTCCTGTCCTTCCTTCCTGTCCAGTCTGACACAATCCTGGATTAGCCTGCTTGTGAAAGGGGCACCAAAAGCCTAAATGTCAGGATATTACAACCTTTATTTTGATTAGCACCAGACTGCTTGGGCGCCTCAAAGACACTATAACATTTATTTTGTTGACACAGCAGATCTAAGCAGACCACTCAAAGCGCCATCAAAGCATCATTCTTGAGTGGCGCGAAGTTCCAGGACATTCAATTTCCTTTATATTCCACTCTGACCACATCCTGGATGGACTCGTTCGACGAAAGGGTCCCAAACATCTTCATTTCAAAAGATTATATCCTTTACCTATAACAGGAACACAATTTATGGGGCCCCACAAAGGTTCCCAAACCATCACGATCCCGGTCGGAGTGTCCAAAGGGCAGTGCGTAGGCCAAACCATCACACGTTGGTCAAACGGCCTCGCGCAGCAATCACGGGCCCCTTGAATAGTGAAGGCCTCTATGTCACATGTCTAACCTGACTGAGATCACTAATACCGAGCGGTCGGCTTCGTGCCGGTCTGTGCCTTGGAGGCCTCTTTCCCAAGCAGGCATAAGGCTGGCACTTAAAGATATCAATCAAAAGGCATTTTCGATCGATCGGGTCCCTAAAGCAGTAAAACCTCCCCCTGTGCTGGTCAGGGGCCCACAGCGCCCTTTAACAAGGGATCCTGTGGCTGCAATAACCCCTGTTCGCCCTGGGGCGCATGTGCTGATAGGAACAGGTACTGGCCCTTGATTATCAAAAGCCATCTCGGCAATGGAAGGAGATGTGGGAAATGACGCTTTAAAGGTTCAAATGGACAATTAGATGGTGGAATGCCTGGTGACACAGTCCTCAGTACCAAACGAAGGGCTTTCCGCACCGTTTCTCGGCGCTAGTTAGTAGACTTTCTACGCCGATAAAGGATTGTTTTGCGTCGGTGAGAGCCCTGCATCGATCCCTTGCCAGATGCTCCGGTCAGAGGGCTTGCCACTTCAGGTAGTGGACCGGCGCGGCGTACGACTCATTCCTCTGAGGGCCTCCGCATCGACCAAAGGTCCCCGGCCGCCGTTTCGTCAGAATGACAGCCGCTGGGGAACCCGTGCTAGGAGGGGACGGCCTGTCATCTCTTGACCAGGATATTTCACCCGTGCAATTTGGAGGCGGCTTCGCTGACCGGAACCAACTGTTCCGCATCCTCTTGATGACGGTGAGGAGGTCGTACACCTTGGGCCGTCTTTTTTGGCACCCGTGGTTGCCTCTTGACAGAACGTTAAAAACCAATGTAAGCTTAACATTTTACAATGCCTGCAGGACATTGTATCGAGCACATTTGTGTTCAGGGCAACAGCATTAGCTGTCGAATTTGTCCACAATCGAACCAGTGTCAACGATAAGGGTAGGGCTGACATGTGAGTCAAGTAAAGTTGTTGTTAGTGCGCGCATATGCAGCGGAATGTATTTTTGCAAAACAATTGTGTGCAAAGTCGTTTGGCTTCCGCATTACGACAAAAGTTGTTCGTCGTGCGAGTGATTATGTTCTCTATTTCATTGGCCAACCAATACAAATCTGAACAAGTAATCCCCACCTATACCTATTTGGTAACATACCGTTTCATCCCAAGTTGCCAAGGAATGCCCAGATGACCTTGACATACTCTCCCCAATATACCTTTCCCCGTTTCGCGGGCGTGTAGTTCAGAAAGTAGACGGGCTTAGGTGTTAAGAAGGTCAGGGTTGTGAACGGAACCGAAAGGTCTTCAAGATGGCTATTTCAGCAAAGGCCCACATAAATGTGGAACACTTAGTTCAAACTTGACTTGTCATATCTTCTCCAAAATAATTCCTCAGAATGGTAGACGACCCGTTTAGTCTCCGGAAAAAATAACTCGCACCATTTGCATACATATCTACGTATATGTTGAACCTTCTACGATGTGCAAAGGATGGTAGTTTCCCGATTAAAACAAGATAATTTGAAACTGAGGTGACCGAAATCTGGGTTTTTGTGAGGACGGGCATCACAGCAGAGCGTGGCTCTCCCTTGGCAAAGTTTCGTATCCGCCTCTGTCAGTGCGTAAAAGTTGGTAAAAAAATCGCATGTGAGCTTTTTGCGTTGAAGAAAATGATCACGTATTACACGTCCGAATTGTAGAGGTTGAAGTGACCCTGCAGTCGCGTAAAAGACTCGCGGTCTAAAACGGGGCCCTAGAAATATTCCACTCTGATAAGTACGTTGCGAAAAAGCATTTATGCATATCCAAAAAGTATTCTCTATGTATGAGGGTTGACTTGAAGACGGCCCTTTAACGACCTTGGCCGTATGTGATCACTCATGGGCAGTATAGCGTACACTGTAGGGTCATGTTTCGATGGAATTTTTGAAAGAATGTGGCGATGGCGTTGTTTAATAGTTCAGAACTTATATAGCCTGCACCAAGCTGCTCTCTAACGGTTGATGTCTTAAGCTTTTCGGCCAGACACATGGGTCACATGGACACATAGCATGGGTCGGCTCAATACTTTATTGACATTACACCGCTTGCGTGGTTCAATGACTTCTGCGCTGATTTAAACATTGGTTTCAGGGAAATGGATGGAGCCATGTGGTCTGAGGAATTTATTGAGGTACCACATGTCAGCAACCGAGGACTGAAGCATCAAGATCCTCTGAGTCTAGAGGCATTCTTCTTGGATGAACTGTCAAGGGAGATCGGGTATGAAACGGATGAAGACGCCCTTATCGAAGAACTGTAAGTATTGTGACACCCGTAAAATATTTCGGCAAATCAAAAGGTGTCATTTCATGCGTTCTTAGAAAGTTGTGGTGCTTCTTCGCGATTCATGTGATATTCCCAGCTGTTGGCCTTTAAAGGCGTTCTTTTGTTTCCAATTTTGTGTTGTTGTTCACAGACCTTATCTTGTCAACATGGCCCTGCGGGCGGAGCTGTCACGCGTTTCATGTAAATCCATTGTGGTGGCACTTTAAATGTCATTGATACTGCGTTACGAGCCAAAGAACACTGAATAAGGTATCAAAACTTACATTGCTGTGCTTTTATTGAACTTAAAAGTTTTAGCCCCGAATATTCGCGTTGCCGAGTAGAGAGTAATGCTGGAGAGCTGTTCGCATGCACTGCCCCTGTGATTGCCCATATGCGGCTCTGCGCCAGTCGCGTTGAGAACGGCGTAAAGACTCGTGTCATTGTTTTGTCTCATTCTGTAGAGATCTGGGCTCTGCGTGGTGGACTCCAAAAGGAATCCTGTGCATAAATGTAGGTTGTTTTGAGATCGTGATGTCCAGCGTAAAGCGAGGCCACCTGTGTTGTTTTGCGTTAAGTGGTGCTCTTTTTGCTGCAACATGTAAGTGCAGACACGAACACCACACTCCATGTGATGTTTTTTTTCACCACTGCTTTAGTGAGGCGTCATCACTCGTGCCTGTGGTTACGGAAGGTAGTTTGTTTACTTTGCCATCGAACGATGCCCTTTACTGGCGATTGTACAACCCCACCTTACGCCGGGCGCTTAGCTCAGTGCGCTGACGCGTCTATTAATTTCAGACCCTCTGAACGGGAACATGTCAGGAAGTGCGACATATACTATGAGGAAACGATACCTCAGATGACGGACGAAGAATTCCGCACCAACTTCCGCGTCGACAGGGAGACGCTCGCCAGCATGGTGGATATCCTGGGCGAGCGCGAAGGCAACCCGACAGGGGCAGGACTGGTGCCAACTCCCCGCGAAAAACAACTGCTGCTGACACTCTTCTACCTGGGCAGCACTCTCAGCTTCCGAAAGGTCGCCACGCAGTTTGAAATGAGCATGTCCACGGCGTGGGAGTTCGTGGATGAGATCATCGAACGCCTGACCAACCTGAAAGAGCTCTTTATTCGCTTGCCTGTGGGGCCTCAGATGCTCAGTACAGTCGAGTCCTTCCGTAAGGTGGCCGGTGTGAAGGGCGTGCTGGGCGCCGTCGCCGACTGCCACATCCCCATTCGGAAGCCCATGTACGAGCCGAACAAGTTTGCCAACTGCAAGGGCTTCTTCTCGTTTCACATGATGACGGTGTGCGACGCTAGCAACCGGTTGACGGATGTGTACGTCGGCAGCCCGGGCTCGCTGCACGAGTCGGAGGTGCTCGACGGCAGTCCGCTCGCCAAACAGCTCGCCAACGACGCTTTCCGCGACGTGTACTTGCCGGGCGACTGCTTCCTGGTGGGCGGCGTGTCACTGCCGCTGCGGCCCTGGCTGATGACGCCGTTCCGCTCGAACCGCGTAGCGCCCGGCGACAAGAAGCACTACTACAACCAGCTGCTGACAGACACGGTCGACGTGAGCCGACGCGCGCTCAGCGTGCTGAAGGCGCGTTTCCGCCGGCTCAGCTTCGTCGACACCAAGAGCGTGAAGAAGGCCGTCATGCTGACGTGCGCGGCGTGCGTGCTCCACAACATGTGCCTCTCTCTGGAGGACAAGTGGGCGGAGGAGCTGGTGGAGGAAGAGGCGGATCCCACCACGACCGAGGACGAAGATCAGGTTGCCGGCGGCGGCCTCGCCCCCATGGCCGCCCACCGCTGGAGGAAGTGGCTCGTCGACGAGCTGTGGAACCAACAGGTCGGCTGAGGCGTTTGCCTGCCGCATTACGACCAGGAACGTGGGCAACTGAGGCCCGTTGGATTCCTGCGACGCGGAAGTTCGACGCCGCTTGTCAGCGATTTCACCCGCCCGAAATGTGTCATAAGCTTCACTGATTGCATTCATCGTGTCGGAAAAAGTTCCACATCTGTGCATGAACTCAGGGGGCACCTGTCTGTTGCTCGCAGTCCTACATTAAGGGACATGGCCCCGCCGACCATTCAGGGGGGGGGGGGGAGATACACCTTCCATGAGCGCAGTTTACCGCGTTGCCCGAATGTTTATTTTGGGACATATAAAATTATTGTCCTACCTACATGTGTTGACTGGCTTCTCCCGTCCACTTAACCATACAGACAGCCTGAACGATACCCGGAGATCAGGCCCGCAGCGGACAACCCGCTGAACCGATCGTCCGTACATCTTGCTCGTTCCAAGTTCGCAAGGTTATCCATAGCGCATAGGACCCCGTAAGGAGCGATGTCGCGTGCGCCCGCACTTCCGACCGTGCACACTCATGCGCATAATGTGGGAAGTTATGCACTGGGCTTATGAGCCATCCCCACGGTGCCTAGCATCCTGCAGTGGACATCCCGCAGCGCGAGAGGTTCACACAGGCCTGCGACACATTTGTTTCACGGAGATCCCCCTTGCGACCGCCACGACGTGGAAAACCCATGCGAGAGGTTATCTGGGTGTAATTGTGTGAGACCATGTAATACAAGCAATTCGAATGTGTATTTTACCTGGTGATATAGATATAGATGAGAACAACTGACAACAAAACACTGGGCGTCAGATTCTGGCAGCATCATATTTCGATTTTCTCATGGCCTGTAAAACAAGCGTGCCTCTTCAGTGGACGTCGAAAAGAAAATAGCGCGGCAGAACAGGAAACCAGGGTGTTCCGATTTTGTCGTGGAGATCGTTTCATTTAAGCAAATTGCATCCAAACTTTTCCAACTTTATGATTAATGGTGCATGTTCGACCAATGCGGAGTATGCTCTGACTCCGCTTCTGAGGCACGCAGAAAGAGAAATCCAAAGAATATTCGGGAGCCTCATTGGAGCCTCTTCAAACAGCATATGGGATGAATGGCAAAGTAATGATCATGACATACCACCGCCGCGGCAACGGAATGTCCGGCATACGCTGGGCTGGTCACCGATGTTCCAGCCGCGTCCACTTCGAACACCACCGCGGCGGGTCAGTGGTGTTTCCCATCGATGAACACGACGTGATCAAGTACTGAACATGCATTGTGTATCAGAACACAATGGCGTCGGATAATGCCAAGGCAGGGCATATGACCGACATCCGCACCAGGCACCACATCCGGGATCGTTGTGCAAATCCTCGAGAGCACATAAACACTTTCTTGCATCGCACTTGGCCATATTTCTGGCACAGCCTCGCGCCGCACCTTGCATTTACGCGTCCACAGACACACCTACGAGGCAACGGCTAACCCCACGCTCGACCGTCAGACCAGGCACAGCAACACGCCTCGTTCACTCCGGCCTTGAGATCTGCCGTCGCCCGGCACGCACTCAACACTGGGAGCGTGCCTCCATGGTGTCGACGAGGCGCTCCAGGGCCCGGATGCGACGCTCCTCCAGCTGCAATCGCAACTCCTCGCGTCGCGCCTTGGCGCGCAGGTACTCCTCCACGAAGAGCGCTTTTCGCTTGCTGGTGAACATCTCGACCTCAGCGGCCTGCTGCGCGGGCGTGCCCTGTAGCACGGTCTGCACGTTCGGCGTGCCCTGTTGCAAAATACCTGTCGTGCCCTGTTGCAATATGCCGGTGGTGCCCTGCTGCAGTATGCCGGTGGTGCCCTGCTGCAGTATGCCGGTAGTGCCCGGCTGCAGAATGCCAGTGGTGCCCGGCTGGAGGACGCCGGGTGCGGCCTGCAGGAGACCAGTGGGGCCGATCTGCAGCACGCTGGCCGTGGCCGTGGACGTGGTACCGGTGGTGGCCGCCTGGCCGACGCTGCTCGTCGCCGCGTTGGTCGTGAAGAGCGTGGGCGCTGTGGAGAACGTAACTGTGGGGTTCGGTTGGATCGGTCGCGACGATAGCACCAGCAGCGGCATCACCGGCTTGTACTTGTCGCCCAGGATCTTGTCCATCTGCTCGAAGTACTGCCACTTGTGCTTGTACTTGCGGACGCCTCGCTTCATCGTCCGGTTGAACTTGGTCCGCTTGTACGAGCCGACCAGCATGTTCCACCGGATTCGCGCCTCATCCGGCGACACGCCCAGCAGGTCGGCGATCTCCTGCCACAACATCTTCCGCCGTTTCGGCGACATCTTCGTGTAGCGCGGGTAACGCTCCTGCATCAGCTCGATCAGCTTGCTGGTGCCGCCCACTTCGACATCGCCTTCCGGCGACAGCAGCATGCCGCTGCCAGGCTGGATCGTGCCGTCAGCGGACGTCTCCAGCGGCATGGACGAGATGACAAACTCAGGCCGCACTGACACCCGCTCGCCCAGGATGTTGTCCATCTTCTCATAGTACTGCCACCGATCGGCGGCCGTCGAGCGGCCATGCGCCTTGGCCAGCTTGATCCGGTTGTACGAGGAGATCAGTTGGTTCCAGCGGTGTCGCGTCTCGTCGGCCGTGGCGCCCACAACGTGCGCCGTCCGCTTCCAGTGGTGCTTCCTCTCCTTCGGTGACATCTGCACAAATTTGGCGTATCTAGCATCCATACAGTCGACGAGCAAATGAACTCTCTCTTCAGTCCAGTCCCCTCCAGGATCGTCACTTTGCGAACAAAACGAAGCGTGTGTATCGCACATGTCTGACTCGCTGAACAGCATGCCACACGTCGGACAAGGGTAGGCGTGTGTTGGTATGCTGTCGCCAGCTTCCTCAACTTCCTCAACGGTGGTAGCCATTGCTGAACCTTGGTGTGGGCAGGACCCAACAGATCCAATCTGAAAGTATAAGGTGGCTTGCATCAGTTTCACCAGACTATGGTCACATGGCATAGTGTTATTAAATGTAATTTAGCAACAGGCCAGTGAAATCAACACAAGCTACCCTAGCCTGGTGCAGACAAACCTCCCACACAGGATACCATATCCTGGTACCAGATATCAGATACCAGATACCAGATATCCTGTTACCAGCAAATCTCCAACATTCCTAGCACTGGTAATGATCCAGTAACACCATTTATTGATTTTGCAGACTGCATGTAAAGTGCCACCAAAGCAGTAAATCATAGTCATTGATTTCTGGAGACACCTAAGCCCTTGCTCATTTGCTGTTCTGGCAAAAGCAAGACCTGATATTTATTTATTTCCATTTATAAATTTATAATAACTTCATGAGAATTGGGATTCCCACCAGCTGATGGTAGACCATTTCATGCCCCAATGTTGAAAGTAAAAGTTTGTAGTCCCACCTTATACTTCTTCAATTTCACTACAATGTTGTTTTGGCCTTAGACAATGTTAAGCAGTGCCCAATGCCATTACCCACAGCCTAGTGCCCAATAGTGCACTCCAGATTAACAGATAATGCTGCCTGACAACTGGCTACCATACCACAATAATGTGAAGTTTTCCTCCAATTTAAACCAGACCACTAGACTGGACCTGAGCCAGGTGTCAGAGGATGCAATACCCAATCATAACCCACACATGAAGTAGTCACAATCTACTGACAAAGTGGGTCCTGCTGCACTTTTTGTGCTGCATTTATGCTGCATGCCTACATGCCAGCATGCACACAATTTTCTGCATCTGCAGTGCACACTTACATATCAAATTTAATTGTCATTTTGCACACCACACCAGCAAGGAATGCCAACTTTGTGGTTCTCAGTCAGCTTCACGGTATAACTGAAAAGTGCCACCTTGGCCATATGGCCTGCGAAGGACCTGGCTACCACGGCTGGGACAAGGATACCAATTCGTAGTTGCATTTGCAAATTTCACCAAGTAACACGTTGGGGACTGGATTTTGTTTTGGGAAAGACCCATGACTCCGTGCTTTTAGAAGCGTTTGCCACCAAGGACTACAGGGTAGGAAATGGCTTGATCATGCACTTACATATTTAACCACTTAACCTGTCACCAGGGCGGTCAACGATGCGCTAAAATGTCTCCACACACAACTCATCACCTACTGCACCACATCAAAACACTGCGCCATACATCGTCCCACATAGTTCTTTACCGAGTTCTTCAAACCGCAACGTTCGCTGCTTACAGACGGCTAGCAACGGAAACGAGCCAATCGTGGTGGAGCATTGCGCCGCTAATCACTGAACTCTCGCAACGAATGAAGTTCCGCATTGAATGTAGTTTAAAAATATGCCTCTCCAGACCACTAAATCGTGCACAGACATGATCCAATCGGGTTTTCTTGTATGCATAACACGAATCTAGGCACAGTGCCAACGAAAGAATGGAGGCTTTACTTTTTATGCTCCTTCTCTTGACGCTTACTGCTGTACATTTCAATCAATTACATTTGTTTGAGTTTTTAAATTGGTGTTAAAAAGGAACGTGAAGAGGCATGTGCGCACGCACTTACGGAATTTAAGCGAGACAAAATCTTTGAATTGCACTAAGAGCTGCGATATCCCCTGATTCAGACGACGCGTTTCCCCTTCCGTTAGAGGCAGGGGCGTCTTCTGGATTCGTGGTCCGAGTGGACTGCCGGTATCTACGGAAATGGCGAAGTGATGGTTTGCGGTAGTGGGGCAAACGATAGGACTGCTGGATGACCAAGGACTTACCGTTGCACTCCTGATTTCGTCCGGAGGCCCAATCCCTTACATGACAAGCGATTTGTTTACGGTGGGTGTGGAGAACCCGATTGCAGAAAATCGCCTACTTCTGGATGCCCGTTTTTTATTGAAAATGACGCCTTCTGCAATATTCCCCCCGAGTAACCCTACAGCCAAGAGTAACCGTACACTGCAGGAAGTGTTCAAGTATCACAGTCTATTTTTATTTCATCAGATATGGTGCCCGTCCGTGATCGAATAGATTAAGAAGTAATCGCAAGCACCCTATCCTGCGCGGCGCGTCAGGCTAGAAATCAGAATGCAGCCATTTCAATGGGTCTGTGCCAGCAACCGCGGTTTTAACTACAGCTGCGCAATCTACACACCACGATAACGGCACTCCGCGCTGAAGCAAATCGGCCGTGATCAAGTGCACGGCTTCGCACATACACCGGCAACTTCTAAGGGGAGCGGCATTCCTCGCGCCATATACGGGCGAAGGCTGATAAATGAAACGGCTATGAGACGGTGATGCGTATCACATGATGTAAAAATAAAATGCTTGTCTTGATCCTAAACGTATTTGCTCCGGCCTTCACTGTCAGTACTTCCAAAACTGTAGACCATATCGACATACACGGAGACCCTATTGAAGGCACTGCCATAGTCCCTTAAAACCACAGACGCGCGTCGCCAGCACCTTCCGTTATCCACGGAACACCACGCGCGTGAAAAGTGCATATCGTTCGCAGACACGGTGGTAGCCCACCGACCCGCATTACCGGGTAAAACAATGGACATTCACGCTTCCACGGACTGCGTGAGAACCGGCTCACTCATCAGCGAGCTTGAGCGACAGAGTATAGCGACACTGATCTTATCAAAGAGGGAACGTACGATTCGTCGCCCTGACTTTATAGCACCACTTGCTTAAAATGAAACTACGTATGTATTTGCTAGGCATTTGGGGATGTTCCAACCGTCATCACATCAATCACATCACAGAACAAGACTAACGTAGGTTGTTTTCAGCTCCAGCAATTTCGCGGCTGAAAAGCACAACAATAACAAATCATTTACTACAAGTCCTGATGTAGCCCCCCTCTGGCATCACGGTCTCGCATGGCACGAACATTGCACCGCGCTCCCGTATCACGCCTACCCCGAGCCCGTGCTTCCCAGTCGCAGTAAGACCGTGACTCAGTTGGCCGCATCGGCACCCGCCAATCCGACCTCGGGTGCCTCCGCGAGCCAGACGGTGAGCTCCAGCGGCGCGTCGGGTCCGTCCAGCGACGAGCGCAGCAGCTGCGCATGCTGGAACGCGTTCTCGCCGTCGCCGCCGTCCAGTCGTGCGGCGAGCGTCAGCTCGGCACAGCCGGCCAGCTCCGTCAGGGTGGCGGCGGCGCCGTCGCCGGCCAGCGCCACGCAGCGGCCGCCGCCGCTCAACGTCCAGCGCGCGCGGCCCGACTGGAACTGCGAGGCCGCGCAGCGCACGCGCACGCGCTCCACGCGCAGCCGCGCCTCAGCCAGCTCCAGCCGCCAGGTGACGTCGGCGCGCGCGGCGCCCTCGGTGCGGCACAGGTAGGCCATGCGCCAGTCGCGCTCCACCTTACGCTGGACGTCCTCGGCCCGGTGCACGCAGCTGGCCCAGCCGGCGGCGACGGTCGTGCCGCGCCGGTACTGGTCGTTTGTGACGCTGTAGGACCAGTTGATCTGGCGTGCGCGGCGCTCCTCCTCCGTCGGCCGGAACACGAAGCCGGCGACAGCTGTGTGCGCCTCGCCGCGCGCCAGGCGCCACGCCAGGGAACCAGACTGGCGGCCGGCGGCGGCGCCCACCGCCGCTGGCGGCCGCAGCAGCTGCAGCAGCTCGGCCACGCGCCGCTTGGCCAGCTGCGAGCGCCGCAGGTCCGGCAGCTGCCGCTGCAGCCAGCCGCACACCTCGACCAGCGTGCGCGCCAAGTGCTCCTCCGAGTAACGGTGACGGCGCCGCCCCGTGGCGGCGAAGTCGACCGAGTAGCGGTACGTCACGTCGGCCACCTCGTCGCACGCGTAGGCGAAGACGTAGTCCAGCTTCTTTTTCCAGCCGGCCTCGTAGATGTGCGGGCGGTCGAGCGCGCGCTCGCACGGATCACAGTGCAGCCAACGCCGCTCCGCCTCGCTGTACACCTCCGTCCACACGTGGTCCTGCGAGTCCTCGACGAAGCGCGTCTCGAAGCCGAGCGCGCGGCAGCAGAGCGCGAAGCAGTTGGCCCACTCGCCGCAGCGGCCGCGCCGCGTCTCGAGCAGCTTCATCGGGTGATTGTAGCGCGGGAATTCGGCACGCGAGCCGTCGCAGCGGCCGCAGCTGTACTGCTCGGTGTGGTAGGCCAGCTCGTCCGGCTGCACCGGCGACACCTGGCGGCGGCCACACAGCGCCATCTGCGCGCCGCACGCGCACACTTGCGGCTCGAACCAACTGAAGAACTCGTCCTTGAACCAGCAGAGCAGGCCAAACAGCAGCCGGTCGCGTCGGTCCGCCGGCTTCACCTCCAGCTCTGTCTTCGGCACGCTCTCCACCGCCGCCGTCGCCTGCCCTCCGGACAGCGATGCCGGTTGGTGTCGTGCCCCCGCGTCCGGCGCTGGCCGGCCGCCGCCGCCGGCCGACGGTGGCGCCGGCAGGCGGTCGGCCTCGGCCCTCAGCCGCTGTAGGGGGATGACACGGAGGGCGGCCCGCTGAACGGACGGTTCCTCGTACAGCATGGTGCGCTGCTGCGTCGACAGCAGGTGCCGCCCCAGTTCTGACACTGGGTACTGTGACAGAGGTGGCACATGTCAGCCATAGCACAACTGTAATGAGCCAGGCATTAGGAAGCTTGGCATTTTGAGCTGATGCAAATCATGCTCATTGGCAAATCATGCTCACTTCAGCACACCTTGAGATCACATTAATGCCCTGTCAAGCTGATGTGACACCATCAAATATATCATACTAATGACTACTTTGTCTCATGTCCCCCTTACCCCATTTCTCACCTGCTGAAATCCATCTACTTTGGAAGGTATTTGAAATTACAGCAAACAATATACAGAAACAACCATAAAATGCAAGCAATTGGCACAAAAATTCTTCCTTCCTTCACAAATTACTCACTTGAGCAAGTGCTGCTGCACACATCTTGTCCCAGCTGTCAAACTTCTGGTGTGCACTTTAAAACAAGTCAACAAGCATCTGTGCTGTAGAGGTTGCACAAGGCACTGCAACTGCAATGACACAAATATGGGTGAGGCAGCCTAGTCACAGCAGTTAGCCTATGGAACATACAAAGGTACCAAATATGAACATCTGAGGAGGCCAGTGGCTCTCTGGAAAAGTGATAATTCCTTAGGCCTGGACATTACATGGGACTGCAGCTTTTAAATACTACTGGCTGGTCAAGAAAGTAAATTTGAATTTAAACAAAACCATACTGAAATCTGAAAGGTCCTCAAGTTGCCAGCAATCCTAGACACATAGATTAGAATAATATATTAATGATAGGGTGTATCTATCTCCAAGACAAAACTAAAGTAACATGGCACACAGGAGATAACACATTAAATTCACACATGGCTCATTTTTGCCATCTAATAACACAAATGTCATACAACTTTTAGTTACATAATTAAATGGTTTATAAGGGACAAGAATACTTTGAAAAGCCAAATAATTGTTGAAACTTCCTGGTGATTTTGTGATGATAAACCATGAGCTGGGTGTGAAATCAAATAATGTACAATGCACAACCACACATTCTTAAAAGTAAGATGCACACCAGCCTCACAGCTCTTAAGTTACAAAAAAAGGATGATACATATATCCAAGAAGTTCTACTAATTTTGAATGCTGAAACCTAGGCTAATCAGCAAGGGGGTATAGCTATCAACAAATCCAACAGTCTCCTCCAACACTTTGATGAGTGGGCAAAAACAAACAACCTTTCTTGAAAGCATTTCATTACCAGCCAGCCTGTTTACATGTTAGGCCTATAACATTCCCACTCTCACTGTTAATACTGCTGGCACTTATGTCGAAGAGTAGGCTAAACATGAGTGAAAATCTTACATATTTTTGCAGCTTAACTCAGATCTAATTAAAAATAATTTTGATACAACTGAGCAATCTTCCTGTGAAGCAGTCTAGGCTATCTCTCCCTAAGACCAGATTCCCACCAGGTTGCCAATCCCAATTTAGTTGAAGGGGCTCCCCACAACTGGATAGGAAACAGGTTGGGTGAGGGTGGAATTGGAGGCTTTCCTTCCTGGCTGGAACAATACAATGGGCTTAGTTCAGGGATGCTTTTTTCACATATCTGGAGTTATGCTTGTCCTCTTCACTCATTCAGCCCATGGAAGCTTATTCAGCAAGCTGGCATTCCTGGATGCCCATTAACCACAACATTCAACAAGTATTTCAGAAGTGGTTCAACTGCTCAAAGAAAAAAACAGAATGAGAATCGCCATGGAGACAAATGGGGTATTGTGCTCATGGATATCCAATACCTCAGAAAGAGTTCCTGACGATTGGAATGTACCTAATCCAGGGCATTTTCACCCAAAATATTGACAATTCCATTACATGTGGGTTTCTAGACCCCAATTAATTACTGATCTTCACTTCCCACCCTAACCCGCACATCACACACTCGATAAGACGTAACCAATGCTCCCCGGACCCCAAGGCCCTGGAACATTCCAGACTCGGCATGTACCGCCCATGTACCGCCAGGGGTATCTGTCAATGCTGTGTCACCAGCCTTAGTGTCAACTCACAGTTCATCAAAAGGCAGCAAAAGTGACGCGACCGTTACAAGAAAAAAGAAAACAGTTAACTAAATTGTTGAGTTTCACCGGTCCTGCTTAAGAAGGCCTCGTGCAATACAAAAAGCCTGCTCTACATTTAGCCATGCTTTTATGTTTGTTTTCAAGTAGACGGACATATACATGCCTTAAGGAACTCACTCAGCCTGACATGTGTGTTTTTGCATACAGTAAATCGAAATGTTGCAACTGCAAGCGAGCAATGTGCATTGACGGTGTAGCATGCTTTGCCAATGTCAAGCGGGCCTGAGTGCTTTCCGCGGATGCTTGCGATGGATTCGCGCAATGCGATGTGGTAATACTTATAGTCTATTAAGCAGCATGACTGAAAATCCCGATATGTTGTGTTGGTTGGCGTAAAATTGGATTGCGATTTGGCCAACAGGTGTTATCCATGCTTGTGACAGTTCTGCTGGGTTTCATCCCGCTCCATTCAATTTCATGAAACAGCTGCGACCACAAGCAAGATAAGATAGACCGCGTAAAATACGGTGAATTAACCTGGTGGAGCAACACATAGTGCATTGGCCCGTACACGACGAACATGACAACACGCAAGTGACATCTGATTGCGCGTGGGATCTGTCCTAGGACCATAGGGTTTGTCGGCCTCGAGTCAAATTGCTTTCTGTGACCACAAATACTCTACGAAGTGTTGGAGGCAAATGCGATCTGTCCCTCGGTTCTTTTTTCATGCAACTCCATAATTTCAACGTTAGAATTTGGAGATGGGATGCGGCTGACCGCTCTTACGGCACTCACCCAGCCCTTAATGGCGCAGTTTTACGGGGGTGGGGACATAATAAGGGGATTGTTCTATCGAATAATCTGCTTTAGAGCATAGTGTATCACATCACGGTCTGTTTAAAGTGTCACCGCACCAGTCTACTTGCATATCATTATCAAACATGGACAATTCGCTGGTGTTCTGATCTTTCTTGACACGCACATCCACCTATACAATTGCCTAAAACCCTCTTGCAAATCAATGCAGCGTTGGCATAAGCCAACGCTGTCAAGGCATCTCGATTTTTGCGATGGCCTCAAATATACGGCTTGGTTCTACGCGTCCAGAACGTGGGGAGGAGTAACTCAAAGGTGTTCACTGAAAGCCGCATTCAGTGCGCTGCAGGTGTGAAAAATAATTACTCCTTGTCGTAAAATAGCGCCCGATATCCTCGAATTTTATTTTTACCGGTCCACCTGGTGCTTTCAACGCTCAACGTTTAGTCACGCGCAGATCACTACATGCCGTAAATTTTGTTAAAGGGGACTCGTTCCCCCGGGGTTTCTATGGTCGCATGTCCCTCTCTCTGAGCACAGTCATTGACGCTTGCCGCTGGCAAACCATGAGGCTAAAATCGTGCCTCCGCCGCCGAGTCCGTCGCGGCAAAAACAAACGCGTTAATTCACCACCTGCCAGGGGCGCGTGCTGAATGGTCGCAACGCGTCTTTAGAGCACTTTCGAAGCCATACAGTGCGGGTTGGTAACACTGTGTTGTGCTACCAGTCTGTCGACGTCGGACAATACCGATCACATCCCGACACATTGGAGTGCATAGTTAACAAAGCGAGTCCGACCTTTTATAATGTGTGGCGTGCAAACAGACCCATGTAAAGTTCAAACGACAGCCTGTGTTCAGTTATCTGCTGGTCATCACCGTGCCTTATTTTGCACGCCAGAAGTTTTAAGCCAGTCATGTTGTCTACCTCCGTTGTTGTATTTCTGACTGTCTTTGCACTGCCGCAAGTTTCGATGCCGCTTAGTTCCAGTTTGATCCCCAATTCACAGATTTTCGAATGCTCACTGCTCCGACATCTCCGGTAGCGTCAAATATTAGCTTAATAAGCTATCTATACACATATCCCCACGATAGTCCTCGATCTCGTGCGCTGGACTACTCACGTGAATCAGCGTCCTGGTACAAATGGTGACCCCAAGATTCATCATTGCCTGCGCAACAAAGTGAATATCTTTGGGACGGCTTGACCACCGTTCAACTTGTTTCAACCACGTATGTGATCAGTGGCAACCGCGTGGGCTTAAAAGACAGACTTCCCACCAGCGCAAGGCGCTCATCAATCCCCGCACCAGACGCCAGCACGCATGCGTTCCCCTCTCGGTTGTGGGAACATGCGTGAAAGTTTCAGACTCTCGCTGCCCTCTGTTTAATCTGCACACGGATCAGCAAACAAAAGACGACAAACAGACAGGCGCACATTTTCGTACATAGCATATTACATGACAGCTCGTTTGAACAGGGAGCGAGTACAGACATGCTGTGAGCCCCCATTTTGTTGCCGACCTTCTTATGCAGTCAGGTATCCAAACGTGGTTATAAGGAAGATTACATGGCTCTAACTAAAAACAACTGAAGAATGATGTAAAGGTGTCGGCATGACCGCAAGATCAGCGAAATACGCAGATTTCGCTCTAGGTTACTCGGAATTCGAGTGTCAGTGAATTGATCTTGAAATAGGCTCTGCCGAGACGTCCACTTCCTCTTAAGGTAGGGAGTGACTCCAGTCCCACGCCTACAACTCTGAGAAGAAGGTGGCTTGTTGGTGTTGTTTAGGGCTACGCTACGTCTTTTTACTGCGCGCTCATCAACTCATTTTGAGAAACTACACCCTTGCTGGGCTCTTTTTGACAACTAGGAACACTCTGTCCTAGGGCCCTTATAGATACCTAGAATCCCTTCTGCATTACAAAGTCTCGTCAGAACACTTAACGAACCTAGGAACCACTCAGG